GAAAAGCATGGCACTTTTTCTGGCAATCCAAATGGAGTACCTGCAAAAGTGAGTGTCAATTTCAGTCACACTATACCTTTCCCTCTGTGGCAAGGCATCATCTGTACCATAACAACATGAACTGTTAAGAAATTACTCAGGAAACAAAGAAGAGTTTAATTTATGTTTTTAAATAAAATCCATAATTGTGAAAGTGCTCAAGAAATACAGAGGGAATAGATCAAAGTATATATACAGATATCTGTATATTTCAGCTAAAACCTTTCACCACTGACACAAATCAGTTAAAAATTTCAAAAACCACTAATTTTGAAAGTTCACAGTACAGAAAAGGAAAGTATTAAAATAGACAAGGAGACAAGAATATATTACCAAGTCTATAGGCCAGTGATGGCGAACCTTTTAGAGACTGAGTGCCCAAACTGCAACCAAAAACCCACTTATGTATCGTCGGGTGATGATTGGGCGTGGCCAATTGGGTGGGCGTGGCCCATATGGTGGGCATGGCTGCAGTGGTAATGGTAGACTGGGTGGGACTAAAAAGTTCAATCAATCAATTCCAACTTTACGAGATCTTTTTTTCCCATGAGAAGTTAAAATTGATTGATTGAACTTTTTTTTTGCACATGGTGGCGAAGACTAAAGCAAAAAGGTTTTATAAAACCCAGCTGAAGGCCTAGGACTGGGGCGACGGCGCACGTGCCCACAGAGAGGGCTCTGCGTGCCACCTGTGGCACACGAGCCATAGGTTCGCCACCACAGCTATAGGCTAATTAATTAAGCAATAGCCAAATCAAACCAAACTGTAGCTTTTTATCTGTATGAAGAGTAACAGCTGTGAGACAGATAGCCAGCATATTATGGGAAACAATTTAAGATAATATGCAGAATGATATAGTTAGTACAAGTCTAAGAAAGCAGAAGAACAAATTTGGGACAAGTAGAGCAAAACAAAAAAACAAAAAAACCCTGGTAAATATATTGTCCAGATATACAGGAATAGAATCAGATTTACAGAACCTATTTTCAAAATATTAAACATAACAAAAAACCTCTCTATCAGACAGTTCTTTCAAGTCAGTTAAGAAAATAAAAATCCATAATGGCTAAACAGTTGACTGACGTGCAAAGGAAATACAGAATACCATTGGTAAGCAAATCACTTCAGAAAAAATACACTATCATCCTTTTTATAACCCTATCAAACTCTAACTATCCATGAAAGGTTGTGATTTGGATAAGGTTTGCCAAATGTATTCACAGCTGAAATAATATTTGAAGCATTTATATTTGAAAGAAAGTAAAACAATAAAACATGAAAAGCAACTAAAGAAACAAATTAATGAACAGAACAAATGGTTCTATTAAAATACTTGCTAAACAAAAACAAACTCTGGCACAGAAAAGAAAACCTTGGGACTTTCTAGAGAGGCCAGACAAAGACAAGTACCCCTGATATAACCTCCACTATGGTCATAGAAATTTTTTAGAAACTAATAGAAATACATTAAACCCATGAAAAAAAAAGTTAAGCTTGATTCCAGGAATTTTCTTAGAGACAATATAGTTAATACTATTGGCAACAACACTGAAATTGTTTGCCACTTTCTTCTTTTAGCACAAGGGAAGAAACATATTCAAACTCCCAAATAGGATAAGGAAGGGGATGGTATTCTGAAAATCAAAAACAGTTTGAAGCAATCTAGTTGTCATCAATTATACCTTTCAACCTATATTCAAACGCAGTCCCATATACAATATACTACAGGTAGTCCTCAACTTGCAACCACAAACTGAGCCCAACATTTCCATTACTAAGCATGACAGTTGTTAAGTGAATTTTGCCCCATTTTACAACCTATCTTGCCACTGCTATTAGGAGAATCACTGCTTTTGTTAACTGAGTAACATGGCTGTTAAATGAATCTGGCTTTTCCCTTGACTTTGGCTGTCAGGAGGTCACAAAAGATAATCACATGACCACCGAGATACTGCAACAGTTGTTAAGTGTGCAAAATGGTCATAACTCATTTTCTTCAGTGCATTTAACTTCTAATGGCCACCAAACCAATGACTGTAAATCAAGGACAGCCTGTATAGTGCCCCATAAGCTGACATTTATGTTATTAACCACTATGCAACATAATTATTTTTTCAGGTATTTTCTGTAACAAATTAAGAAAATGTATTTATATTTACATATTAAATAATCCAGAATAGAATTTTGAGTAAGCACACATACAGTCATACTACAAGACATTTATACATATAAGCTAGAGAAAAGAAGGACTAGGCTGACATGATAGCAGTATTCAAGTATTTGAGGGGCTGCCCCAAAGAAGAGGGAGTCAACTTATTTTCTAAGCATCAGAAGGCAAGACAAGAAATAATGGATGAAAACTAATCAAGGTGAGAAGCAATCTAGAATTAAGGAAAAACTTCCTAACACTGAGAACAGTTCCTAGCCACTGGAAGGAGCTTGCCTTCAAAAGCTGTGGGTGCTTTGTGGAGGTTTTTAAGAGGAGACTGCACAGCCACTTGCTCAAATTATATAGTCTCCTGTTTGAGTAGGGAGTTGGACTAGAAGACCTCCAAGGTCCCATCCAGCTCTATTCTGATTCCAGCTTTGCAATACAAAAACTCGTAACAGATACAAGATCACAAATGTGCTTTCCAACAGAAAATTATTAACAGGAATTGTGAAATCATCCTTTACATAATAATCTTATTACAATGAAAGAAGAGGAAAACTATGAAGTTTGTAAAAGTCAGAGAACCTATATATTTCTGTTATTTTAACTGCAGTCTGGGATTCTTTAAAGACTGAAGCAGATGGCCATCATTTCAAATTGTAGACCATCTGCTTCTGATTCCAAGAGTATCTTATCAGAAGGCAACTGCTTACTTCATTTGAAGTCCATAATCCTTTGTAGAGAAAGCCAAAACAATTAAATTTGTCTAAATGAAGGTCAGAAAACTTGTATGATTTAAGTCATGAATTATATTAATCCTAATTCCAACATACTATTTAATTTTTTTTTAATCTGGCATAAACACCATTGTTTTAAACTTATTTTTTTAAAAAATGAAACTTTTATTCTAGAAAGTATTAGTAATTTGGGATATTTATTAGATAGACTATGTTCCACTGCCACGTTTGTAGTAAGTTTACCAGTTTTTATTACTGGACTAAATGCCTTAACCAACCTGATACTCTCCAGATACCATCCAGTATGATTTGATACTCAATGCAGCTGTGTCTAATTTAATAAGATTCTTCTTAAACAAGAATTCACATTCAGTATCTATCCAATTGTCATAGAGTATGAACATTCATTTTTAATCTTTTAATTTAAAATATAGTCAGTCACTGATTGTTACATAAGACGTACAAAGTACATATAAAAATTAAGACTTTGTTGCTATGTATGCATCAACCTTAACGATTCGTATTCCCTACCCATATCTAACTTATTTATGACACATATCATCACTTTGAAATCCAGGGCACTCAAAAATAAAGTGTGAGCAAATATTCTTTTCCACTTAAGAGAGTGAGCACATCTACTTTCAACAGCAGAAAAGTAGCAAGTATAGTAGAAGTGTGACATTTTCACAAATGCTTGACTATGTATCATTTATTACAGAATATTTTACATTAATTTTTTCCAATCTGACACATTCCAGCTCACACTTAACTATGGCATCTATCACAAGCTAACAAGAGCATTGCCATGCTGCCTATTAATAATGGAAGATATTGTCCAACATACTGGAAGACACACAATTGTGAATTTAATTCAGCCTTTTCTAACACCGTATAAGATCTTCACACCCATACTTCACTATTAAATAAATATACATTCAATATTCACTATTTATCAATATTTTCCCTTGACTTCCTAGAATACTTAGGACAAATTCTTTAGCATCAAATGCATCTATGTGCCTAAATCTAAATCCTTTATTTTTGGCTTAGCTGTCTATTACAAACATTCAATATTTTAGTAAAATATGCAGCATGACTACTGCAGCACATTTGAATTCAGTGCTATCATGTAAATCATGTAAAACATATTCTGTTCAAACTAATCAGAACTAAAACTAAAAATGCATTCACTAAATAATATCTATATTGCATGACCAGGGACCTGTTTCGGTATGTGCATGAACTGTTACATCTACCCCATATAATATGCATTCAAAGGAAGAATTTAATATTTTGTTAACAACATTAAGTCAAGGATTCAAAATATATGTCTTACACTTGTAGAAAATAAAGTTCAAACAGCAAAATATCAGGTAAAAGTGTTCTGACAGATACAAGTACTTAAAGAATTATTCCCACCTCTGAAAATTGTTCTTTATCATATCTAATACTTTGCACAAGGGAAAACAAAAACACAGGGAAAAACAAAAACACAGATCCAGGCTTTTCTGACAAGTAGAAAAGGTGTTAACAAATCAACTTTCTCTTTAATTTCAAAGATATTCCTCTTGAGGCTTCAACATTCACAGAGCACTAGATTAAGTACAATTTTAGCTAATTAAAAAAACCCAAACATTTAAAAACCGTGAGTTCCATCACTGCCCTCATAAACTTAATCCAACATTTAGGATTCCTGCTTTCAGCCCTCACAAAGCTCAAAGAAATTATATCAAAACTTTGCAAAGTACCCCCATTTAAAAAACAAACCAAACAAAACAAACGGTAACAACTTTGCTTCCGCAAAATCAAGAGAAAGACTCCTATTTTAGAGGTAACCACTTCCATTCAGAAACGACAGGGAGTAGGACCGTGCATCCACGAAAAAATAAACCGGCGTGGAAACGCCTTGTTGACAACCACGGTGTGCCTGAGTTTGCTACACCAACCGGCCGACCCCTTGCTAGGGATGAGCAAAAAGCCGGAAGACCGGTCCTCTTATGCCTTCTCCTCATCCACCCACCCCCAGCAGTGCTGGCAAACGGCACTCCCTCCCTCCTCTTCGGCGCGTTACCTTGCGGACCCCCTTGTAAATGTAGAAGTAAAGCTCCCGGCCCACATTGAAGCAGAGCCGGTCCCCATTGCCACTCTGGTCGTTGACGTTGACGAAGGAGACGCGAACGGGGTTGGAGCCCTGCGAATTGAAAGGCACCCGGTTGGGCCGGCTGTACTCCGAGTGGCTCAGGAGCTTGTAGAGCCCCTCGCGGGTGGTAAACTGGGTCTTAATCTCGTTCATCTCCTTCCCTCCTCCCTCCGCCGCCATCTTGGAAAGGAGCATTCATCGTCTTCCAGTACCCGGATGAAAGGCCAGCGCGCAGACGCACCAAAGAGGGAAATTGTTTCTCCTGCCTGAAAGCGCATGAAGGGAAGCTGGCGAAACGTTCGTGCCTTTCCCTGTTTACCGTGATGCTGCGCATGCGTCACTTCTGCCTGGTGCAACGGGATGAGGTGGAAAAGATTAAAAGAGATGAGCCTTCGGAGTGAAGGAAGTGATGGGAAGATTAAAAGATGAGCTTTCGGAGTGAGCATGCGCTGAAGGAGGAAGTACTTCCTGGTGCTTTTGCGTTGTAATTTTGTATTAATAGAGGAAAGTTGCAGCAAACGCTCCATAGGTACTTCTCTACGAAAATAATGCAGATAATTGCGGATGTGTATTTGGAAAATATATTGCACATATTCTTCGTTGTTTAATTCATACTGTATTCTTCATTTGTATTACTGGGATTGTATAACAGCTGTTATATCCAGTGATTCATTTTTTTGTTATTCAATCTTCCCAGATACATAACATATAATCTGTACCTTTGTTGCTTCTTGCCTCCCAAGAATGGGGAAGATTTTCTATATAAATGCATTTATGAATACAATGGAAAGTTGCCACACCTGTTAAAATGCCAGATTTTTGAAATATAAAAAAAAATCAGACCAAGATAAATCACTTTGGAATTTTGTCCATCTTTAGTATAACATGTGCGTGCAGTTCAATTGAAAAACAAATCTTAGGGGGAAAATAAATTAGAATGTAGCTGCGTAAGTGTTCACAGCTTCTTATAAGTAGGAATGTGGCTATGTTCAGAATTTTATTGATGGATTAATCTTATTAATCAGAACTAATCTTATTGTTGGAAAGTATCAGGAGAAGGGTAAAAATTTTTTCCAAGGCATTGGATATACCATGCAACACAGTGATCAACAGACTGTCCCTTTGAGAAAATGTGGCACAACAGTGATATTACCAAGAATTAGATACCCCTTCAAAAATTGAAGAAAAAACAAGAAAACTGGTTCAAGAGGTTGCCAAAAGGCTTACAGCAATGTCAAAGAAGTTGTTGGAATTTCTGGCAAATATTTTTCATATTTATTTTCATATTTTTCATATATATGAGCAATACGGTAGGGTAGCAAGGTGGAAACCTTTTCTTACAAGGAAAAACAGCCAAGCCTGCCTAAATCTTCATCTAAAAACCTACATCAAGTCTGACAAAAGCATGTGGAAAAATGTGTTACGGTTTGATGAGACCAAGGTTGGCCATAACACCCAAAAGTATGATGCAAAAACAACACTGTGCATCACTCAAATGGCTTCACCAGAAGATCAAAGTTTTGGAATGGACCAGCCAGAGCCCGGACTGAATCCATTTGTGGAGTGACCTGAAGAAATCTGTGCACAGGCGATGCCTCACAATTTGACTGATTTGGAGCACTTTTTTAAGGAAAAGTGGGCAGATCCCCAAGGCAAGATGTGGCATGCTGATAAGTTCCTACCCAAAAGTCTGAATGCTGTCATAAAAATCAAAAGGTACTTCAACAAAGTATTAGTTTAAGGATATTATCTTTATGTAACCATATTATTGTAAGGGTTTTTTTTATTATTTGTCCCCTAAACATTTTTGGTTGGTTTTTCAATTGTACAGCTTATATATTTTATTAAAGGTGGAAAGAATGCTGAAGTGATTTCTCTTGGTCTGATTTTTTTACCTCTTAAAACCTGGCATTTTGACTTTTATCTGTTGTACCTTGCAACAATTTCTTTTAATTATTTTCCGAATACTTAATTCCATTAAAATTGTACCTTAAAGACTTGGAAAATTATTACAGTATGGCATAAGACAGCCTACTTCATTAAATGCACAGAGATTTAAGTAAGCAAATGTACTTAATGGTTGCCATATCTGAACTGAAAAAAAAATCTTAAGTTATCACCAGATGACAACAAAGGATAAAGGGTTGTTTGTATCTGTTTCCATGTAGTGATTATTTGGATTTTTACAATCCACATAAGATAGCCATGTGCATACTGTATATGATGCCTGAGATTTTAGAAATGGATATGAACTTTAATACAGTACTGCACTTTGCAATCAGATGCATCTGATTTCCATAATTTACATGTTACAACCTAAGCTATATAACTAGATATGCAAATATACTCAGGTTGTATGTTGCTAATTCATTTTAGAATGCAAATAGAGTAATATCAAAAACTCTTCCTCAACAGTGATAAGGAACTACAGTATGTAAGGAATTACTTTCCAAAAGTTGGAAAAACCATTAGCTGCCCTCTTTTTCTACAGCCTCCAAATTACTACAAAACATTTTTCAGGACTAATAAAACAATCTCTCTCAATTCAATTTCAATACTACTTATTTTTAGTATTGTAAAGTATTACCTTCAAGATCTCAATATTGTTTGAGTTTCCACACACAGCCTATTTATTGTTGTAGAAAAATGTTCCACTTACCTACCATTTTGTGTAGGCTTTGTGCCTCCATGGCTCTTTGTGCCAGAACATTTTGTTAATGAGCCATTTTTTAAGGGGTAGTTTGGTGAGGAAAATGTTAACCTAGTGCGAAGTTGAATGTGGGTCTTCAGGAAGACCAATATTTCCATTGATAAGTAGAAGTAGATTAGTAGAAACCAGTCCCATTTTGTCCCAGTTCAGAGTTGGGAAGAATAGTCACATTTGCACAGCATATCTTCCATTTGGGCACCAATGTAGAAGAAAATTATATGGCCATTACTTCCTCCTCCAACTCCAGTTTTAGCTGTATTTACCCCTGCATATTCTGTAATGGGTATATGATAGAAGATAAGGTGACCAACTTTTTTACAGTGAAAAGGAAGACACAAATAAATTGAAGAAAAAATATTGTAAATAAAATTGCACTCAACAGCAATTCCTATTGGCTTTCGAAAGTCAATAGGAGGAGTAACACAGCTCATGCAAAAGTTGAAAAAAATATAAAAAAAAAGGTGCCGGAACGCCGTTCTGAGCGTTCTATGAGAGAAAAAAAAAGCCCTGCAGATTAGTCTTCAAATATCGAAAAGGAGGACATGTAGGAGGACACTTTTCGAGGGAGGACAGAACTTACAAAAGGAGGACTGTCCTCCCTAAAGGAGGATGGTTGGTCACCTTATAGAAAAGCCAAAAAAAAAAAAAAGTAGAACTGAAGGCATATCAGGGCCACATCAAACTTGACTGGACATCCTACAGGAGTGAAAACAGCCACTTGTCCCAACAGGTAGTAAGAGGAATGTTATGGCAGCTACATTATTTTTCTTTCAAGATTTCTTTAGCTTTGGCAGAGGGGCAATTTAATCTATTAATAGCCTTTGCTATTGTATGCAATGTCTAAAAGGCAGACATATATGCATGCCATTTGTCGGTAGTTGCTTAGATGCAATTATAGATATGTGTGTGCATTCACACATCTCCTGCCAGCCTGGGAGGTAGACTCTGCCAGATGCTCCTCATCTCTCCTTCTCTCTTGTGTAGTTTCTTTTGTCAGATTACAGGTAGTCCTTGACTTATAACAGTTGGGACTGGGATGTTGGCCACTAAGTAATACAGTTGTAAATAAGTAATCATAAGACTAGACCCAATTTTACAACCATTTTTACCACAATCATTAAGTGAATCATAAGGTCATTAGATAAATCTGGTTTCCCCGATTAACTTTGCTTGCCATAAGTCAGCTGGGAACATTGCAAATTGCAACTAGGTGACCACAAGATGCTGCAACCGGTGCAAAAATGAGTTGGTTGCCAAGCATCCAAATTGTAGTCACATGACGGGGGAAGGTAGTGCAGGTCATAACTTTGAGAATAGGTCATTAGTAACTTTTTCTGAGGCCAATGTAACTGCAAACCATTGCTAAATGAATGGTCGCAAATCAAAAATCATCTGTATTGGCCTTCTAACCAAGCCTCTTTTATATCAGTATATTTTCTTCTCAAGAATTGGGAAAAAAAACCAATGTGTGGATAAGCCTATAAATAGGTATTCTATACTGTAGAATATAATGCCCTGAAGGTCATATAAAAAAAATGTTAGAAAATCATCTACAGACCTTTATAAATCAGTACATAAGCAATTTGTCTGAATTAATTTCATTTAACCAGTCAAATCATAGCTGTGAAAATCAGCACTTTGAATGACATCCAGAAACCAACTAATAACCAATACAGCTCGTGTAGCATTGGTGACATATATGTACAGGGGGAAGTGACTGTTACTGCTTGCACCACTGCATTTTGAACCAGCTGTAGCTGCTGGCTGGTCTTCAAGGGCTGCCTTGTTTTGTATTGTCTGATCTGGTAGCTTCATTTTTGCATTTTCACTGCTATTGTTACAAATGGCACTTTTTACATTTTGTAACCATCTATAACTGTCTTCCTTCAAATCATATAATGTTGAGGACTTTTCTCCATGGAACATTCACCATAATAACTTGATTAGCCATTACGTGCTACTACAAGTCAATTGTTTTATTTATTCATAAGACTTATATGGCTGTCCACCTTCAGACACAACTGGGTGGCTCATAGCAATTGTACAGAACCAAAAACATCATAGAAAAATGATACACATAATAAAAAAGCAATGACAAAAAGAAAAACTTGAAACCACGACCAATAACCTCCAATGCAGCTGGCACCATGATCTCCAGGCTCCAACCTCATCCTATGCCAGCACTAGGGGGAAGGAGTAGCCTTTAGCAGCCTTCCAGAAAGTCAAGAGGCTGGTGACCTGCTGAAACTCTAAGGGAAGAGTATTCCACCAGGCAAGAGTTGCTATGGAAAAGGGACCCTTCCTTGGTTCCACTAAATGGCAATATTTAAGGGAGGGAATCTAGAGGAAATCTGCTCTTTCCAGTTTGGTAGAATTGGGCAGAATCACTTAGGGAGAGGTGATTGTGCAAATAACCTGGCCGTGTGCTATGTAGAGCTTTAAAGAAAATAATCAGCACCTTGAATTAAAACTGGGAAAAAACTGCAAGTCAGCGCAGCTCGCACAATAGGGGTGTATAATGGACAAACCTAGGGGCATCCAACACCACATATACTGTTGCATTCTAACCAGTTGTGACCTCAAGTGATCTTCAAGGGCAGCCCCATGTAGAGCATGTTGCAGTAGTCCAATCAGAAAGCGATCAAGGTGTAAATGAACATAAATTGGCATAACTGGCACTCAAAAGTTACCCTATGGTAAGATGGACGACCAATAAATGTAATCAATAAAATGAATCTTTGCAAAAGCTCCTTAGCCACAGCTATGATCTGCTCTTTGAATAGGAGCTGTGAGTCTAGGAAGACGCACACACACACACAACATTTGTGGGAATTGACCTTGAAGACTAGGGCAATGGACTGACAAGAGGCAGCTTATCCTGCAGCAGAAATGTGAGCATGGTAAACATCTCAGAAGGAACCCATCTTAGTTTCTTGGCCTGTAAAACAAGAGGGAGGGTGAGAGATACTTTTAGACTATTCCCATAGTCCCCTAGGAAATAAAATGTGTCATGAGTTTAATTTGAGAGTGAACTATATGTTAAAATAAGATTATTGTAAACAGTATATGCACAACTCATACCACATGCTTATCCATGATTTACTCAAGTAATTAACATTCTGGGTCACCATTGCAAAAAAGATAAAGATAAGCTCAGTTTCTGCATTCTTCCATGCAATTTTCTTGAAAGTGTTTCTACTTAGCTTGGATTTGTATAATATGGTAGTCTAAATAATTGGCTGCCTTTTGCCTGTGCTATGACTATTAAACTACCTAGATGAGAAGGAATATTTATATATGTATTATTTAGGTTAAATATATCTAAACAGCAATGAGAATTATAGTAGTTGAACACAATATTAATGGTATGTAGAGAGATGGGCAGGAAAAAAAAGTGATTTTTCTCTTCAAAATCTGAATGTACTTTTAGCTCCCTCTGCTGAATCTATGTCAAACTGCAAGAAGTTAACACTTCTATTTTTAACACAAATTACATTACAGTGCAGTACTGACAGAATTAAAGGGCAAGATCTTCTCTTTGCTTTTCCATGTCTCACCTCCCTTTCTCCAGGTCTATAAATATGCAAAAGAATTTCATTTGTTAGAATTAAATGGGAACACAATTAAATGATAAAGAAAGTGTATAATTTTGCTGTATTAGCAAAACTATATGCATCATTTCACATAGCAAGTCTTGAATGATGGAAATTATCTCATCAAAATATGGTGATTACATAGTGAATATACACACGGTGTTTCTGTCATACTTGTACTGATCCAGCTAATGATTAAACAGCCTGGGATATTAGAATGCAAATCTGCACGGGGCAAATAGCTACAGTACTCAAAACTGCACTTCTGCTTTGAAAAATGTTCAGACCTTCACATATAATCCTGAAGACACCAGATTACCTGATGGATTTTGGTAGACTTGCAGCATTCATGGTTTTAAAACTCTACCAAAGTTCTGACAAGGAATTTGAACAATATCTTGTCTATGGCCAGGAGGGATTCATCTGGTCCCACCAGAAGAAATTAAATGATAATTTAGACATAGTTACAGTATAGAATATGGACGCCAATCACTCCTGGAATGCATTACATAGAAGAAAACAAATTTGGAGAACAATATTTACAGCTGTTGGAGTTGCTATGAACTATGAAGACATTCACGATTTGGCTGAATTTGTTGCAAATCTGTCTATAGCTTTTGAAGCTTTGTAAATAATACCACAAAAAGCTGTGAGCTACTTCAGGATGAACTCCTTTTCCTGAAAGATGTAGTACTGCAAAATAGGCTGGCCTTAGATTCGATACTAGTAGAACAAAGGGGAGGGGTCTATATGTACATGAATCAAAGCTGCTGTGTGTTTCATGAAAGCTTCGTTACCCAGCAACAGAAATTAGTTAAAATTGTTTCTACCCTGGTAAAAAACAGGGAAACCTTTCAAGAAAAGCAAAACACTTGGGACATAGTTGACAGATTGGGACCAGTGAAATATTTACTGCTTGTAGAAATGGCTAAGATAGCCCATGCCTTGCCTGGATGCTGTCTTCTTCAATGTATCTGCAAGGCAATGTTGCCATTATTCTTAGTTCTGCCCCCAGGAACACTCCCATGCAATTTCAGATATCAACTGCTCACTTGCTTACTAAAAATAAGAGTGATTAAGCAAATAATAGGTTGCAAATCAAGTGGGGGATTTGTATCCTGGAATGTTAGGCTTCATTGTCAGCTTTTTAACAAAGGTGATGTTATCATTTTAGCATGGCATCCATGCTCCTTTGGAAGTTTAGAAAACTGTTTTTCCTTTTAGCCAAAGCTAAAGAAATATTTTTATAAAATTCTGGAAACTCTTTATGGACTTTTTGCCAATAATTGTTATTGGATAATGGGAATTATAAGAAGACGTGAAACATGTATATAATATTATAGACGGTGGGGAATTTAAATTGTCTAAACTTATTGCAAGAAAGATTGGGAATCAGTTCTTTAATTGTTTAATTTAATACTTTTCTTCTTGCTTTATTCATACTTTTTTCTTTTCGTTTTTCATTTTTTGCACTTGTATTTCTTTTATTTTCTTATTTTCCTCTGATTTCAGTTTGAATGACCATTTAACATTATTAAATTCTTTAATAAAAGTATTTTAGAAAAAAAATAAAAGCATGATAATTTTATTTCTGATTTTGTTGTCTTTATTTTTATTTGTATTATTTTACATTTATTTCCAGTAAAGGCATGATTAGATAACTAACCCCTGGATAATGCTGTTCTTGCTGTAACCACAGCTGAAGCAAGAGCAATATTAAAATAGTAAAGACTGTATAAATGATTCATAAAATAGGATCAGCTTACCTGAGAGGCCCAATTCAGGAAATCTGTTCCTCATATGCAAATAGCTGTAAGCAGGTTCTCCTCTCTTTAAAGTTGGGCTGTTAAGATCAATGAAGATCCACCTGTCTTATATGAACATGTGATGGGCAGAGCTTTTTGCATCATCATGACCAGCATCTTATCTTTTTTTTTTTTTACCATACCTGTGGATGCCCCTGCCATGGCTCCTCTCAGATAGCTCAGGGACATTCATAGAGAGGTGATGTAGCACTGAAGGACTTATTTTTAGATTCCTATCTTGGAACAGAGTTTGAAGATTAGCCTTGTGGATCTGAATTGACAACAGCAAAAGGACCAAATCAACCAAGAAAAAATTAACAAACTAACATCCAGATGTACCCTTGTTTATATTGCTTTGCTTTGGATCTACAATTCAATTTTCAATATTCAATTCAGTCAGTTCGCTTTTCTACGGTGTGTCTGGGAGTGTTATAATGAATATTTCATTTTGCTGAAGAGTTTGACTTGGCACAGGTAAGATTTTTTTTTCTCTTCGTCCTCAAGAAAAAGCCCACTGGAAGCAGAGACAATGGTGGAGAGACCTAAGAGCAGGTTAAACCTGCCATCCCTCTTTTTTTCCTTTTCTCTCTCTCTCCGATCCTCCTTTTGTCTCTCTACCACTAGGTATCAAATGAGTTCTCTGACTGGAACTGTTCTTCATTAGTTCACAATATTTTAGGGCATACTTGTGGACTGTGCGGATCGTTTATACAGCCTGCAAAGCTATACTCACCCTGCTCTTCAACTGATAAAGCATCAGCTAGTTTATCAGAAAACAGATCACTTTTCCACATTATTCTCAGTAGTAGGAAAACTGCCATTATGATCTTGATTACTGATATTATTTCTTATATTGGGATTGTGGGAGTAGCAAAAAATTTCATATTCCATCTTCCTATCAGATGTCCCTGTGCAGATTCTCTCTGCTGGTAGATCTTAGGAAGCTCTTGGTGCTCAGAAGTGGTGGTATAGGAGAAAACGTGGCAGAAGAGATTACTATAGCATGGCTGGAAGAAAACAGAGAGCAAATGTAATAAACCAAGGTAAGATCCTTTATTAAAGGTTACCTTGTGGTAATAAAACTATTTACAAAATAATTTCCTGCTCTTACTTTGCCCGGAGGCAGTTGGCCAGTAGACTTGTTCAAGGTGACCTGGTGCTTCTTAGGTAGGGGGAGGTCTGAGGAACAGCTGCAGGTCTGCTGTAAAGCATATTGAAAGCATCTGTCAATTATTATTGTTGTTATATAAACTAAAAAAGAAAATGTAAACAAATGTAAAAGAATATAAAAATAGCTAACATAAGTAAATAAACACTAAAATATAGACAGCCAACAAATCTAAAATATCATATGACTAACAAATTCTAGTACGTCATTAAAAGTTTATAATATTATGAGACATTTCATATCCATTTTCTAATCAAACATCACAAAGCAAACATGAGTTTACTACATGGCACAGCTGCAAAAAAAAAAAAAATGCAATCCTACACTGTATCAACAGCAGTAGGGTCAAATTCAAGAGAAACATTGATCCTGTATTCTGCATTAGTTAGATTATGGCCTAGAATACTGGGTATAGTTGAAGTCACCAAAGGGCTATCATGTGGAACACAGACCAGAGTTCATCCAGAAGGTAGAAATAATGGATTTAAAATACAAGGAAGCAAATTTTAGCTGGAAATCTGAAACAGAACTAGTACATTCTCCTTTGCTAGAGATGGTTAGACAGTAACCAGATGGCTATCTGTCCAGATTCCGTAGCATAATATGCATATTCCAGGCACAGTATTGTATTAAATCATCACCAAGGTATTTTCCAACCTTTATGTTTTATGATTATAAGATAGCTTCAGAAGAGATTGCTGTTTTCTATTATTAGCAGTGGGAAATAACCATATTGATCAGCATACTGGTGGCATGAGGTAAGACAGTATATTTTCTATAGGAGTGAGAACCTGAGAATATCAGAACTACAGTATGTGTGGGTGAAGGAATAATAATATGAAAGTATGATACCCAAATAGCTACTTTGGATTAGGGAAAAAAAAGGAAAGTATAGGCGTGAGAATATGTATTTTCTGGCTTTACACCACTCTTGCCCATTTGTACAATTCTCAAAGAGCTATGCTGAAACCAGTTCAGATCCACTTTCCAAAACGGTTATATTTGTGAGTCAAGATTTGTGAGTCAAGATTCACAAGACTCTGTTGTATAAACAGGAAATTCCAATAAATACCAAACACCATTAAACAATGTTAAAAGAGCAAAATAGTACCGGTATAGCAGCAGCATAAGAAAGACAAAGTACCAATCCCTAATAGTCCAATATAATTTTAGCTAATGAAATAATTTAACACTAGATCAGTTGATACTATCAGCATATATTTACCAAGAAAATGTGTGTCTTCAATAACCATTTAAAGGCTTGCAATTATGCAGCTATACAAGTTTCCTTTTGATTAAGGCGTATAGTTTGAGGGCTTCTAGATCCCCAAAACAGCAATGCTGGGAAGGTGGCTCAGGCTGAGAAAAAGTGACTAACCCTAAAACCCAGTACATTTCCATGGCCAAAGATAGATTTGACCTGGATATCCCCAACCCTAATCCATCACCTTCACCTCAACACTACAGTAGCTCATATTGATATTGTCTAACCCTAATCTAGCTTGCTGACTGGAGAATTCTGAGAATTGAAGTCCATGCATCTTAAATCTGACAAGGTTGAAAAACAGTGATCTAACCTATCATACTATCCAAAATTGGGCCTTCCTGAAAATGTATTTATTTAGTAGACTTACTGCATATGCTGCCTGTCTTGCCTAGAGAGGTGACTACTTAAAATAACTACCCTATATATACTAACTTTGGCTTTGCTTTTCTATTACTTTTTAATACTTTTTGTGACATTACTCTGCCAGTGGCACCAAATGAGACAAGGCATGCATATTATTTATTTATATGTTATAGGAATGGTAGGAAGCAGATTTTGATACCAAACTTCACTTATCAGTGGCAGTTTTGCATCCCATCTAATTCTCTCCTAACATATCACATCAGCTAAAAGGGGTTTCAAGTTTTATCACTGCTGCCATTTCCTACCCTGGAAAACATTTAGTGTATTAGAAGATCTGTGGGATATATATGTGTGTGTGTGTGTGTGTGTGTGTGTGTGTGTGTATAGTTCCAGACACTTTGGCGCCATACATCTCATTATTTCTGATGTTATTGTCTGGCAGCTTTAGGTATAGCAAATAATGCTGAGTCTGAATGAATTTCAAAGCAGTGCAGCAATTTCAAGGACATACTGTACTTTTTTCAGTTCCTTTCTATTGGGGTTGTCTCTTTGGGGCTGATTTATATAAGATAGGTTTTATATAGTATCTCTGCAGGGCAGTGTACATAGAAAGGATCTGTTCCAAACAAGCATTCATCCTTATTCATGCATCAGGAAATTTAAGAGATTGCTGGCTTCCCATGTGTACATAGAATAAAACAGTCACATAAGGTGTACTTGAAATTCTAGATATAGTTGAATTGTCTTTGAAATTAATGTGTAAATCTCTTATAATGTTCATATGAGAATTAGGGATATAAGTTGTTAGGAAAAGCCAATACAATTGTGCTAATGTTGTTTCATATCCTATCCCTTTTCTTGTTAGGATGGGAATCCCTAAGAGCAAAGTCAGTCTACTCAAAGGTAAACATTGCATACAAATAATCCCCTATATAATTTTTGTTATCTCCAGATAGAAGTGTGGGGGGGAGCTCTTTATAGAGGGCCACACAGGATAACTGGTTTGTCTCTCAGTGAACTCTAAACAACCTTATGACACTTTTTCCTCATTAGCATCTTAAATTTAACACCCCTGTTTTTGTCAGATCTCATTTAAATGGACATATCAATGTAATATGTTTAATTCCTGTTTGATTCCATGTAGTTTATTTACTTTGCAAAGGAGAAGTTACTTTTGTCCTATCTAATCAATTTTTCTCTTGCATTTTTTGTGATGTGTTAACCATAAGAGAGACTGAGAGCTGAAGATCGAGTTTCCCTTTGACTGAGAGGAAACCTTTTTAGTCAGAAGGTTCTGAATAAATAGTAATAAAATGATCTTCCTGTCTTGGTCTGTTTCATTGGAAATTATGAATGCCCAGCCACGAGCCTAGGAAGCCCTATTTGGCTAACATTATGAAATCATGAACAGTTACTACCATCTATTGTAAGTGAACCAAAATTCTAAATTTCTATAAGACAGTTTGTTAATACCCTTCTAAATTCAGTATTGAGTTAAAAAAGGAAAAATGAATAATTTTTCGGTTAATTCTGGTGGTTTTGTGTGTAAAACATGTTTGGTAGAGCAAACAGAGTAGTATGCCTACAAACCTATTTTTATTCGCCAAGGAAGTTAAGTCACTTTAAATTCAATACAATTTGTTTCTGAAGGGCAACAAGAGGGATTGCACAATATTTTAGGGGGAAAAAATCAAGTATAATTTTCATTTTTTAATGCTTACTGAATTCGATAAGGGTGATGTGTTCTGTTCTAGTTTTTGTCTGATATATCATCGAACAATAAACAGTAATCTCTCCTTCTGTCCCTTATTTTGCAATAAATATTTAAACAACATGGAGGGAATACTTTCTAGCCAGGAACTCCCTTGGCTAGAATCCCCATTCTGCAGCTTTTATTGTCTTAGTCTTTCCCTGAGGAGTCATGAAAGAAAAGCATGTAAGCAACAGATGTTCCTCTCCTGAATATCCTCTCTTTGACCAAAAGTGAACCTATGGTGCTGCTTAGAAATTGTAAACGGGTATTTTACTACTTACTTGCACTCTGTGTGTGATGCAGTAGCTGCATCATCCATTCACTCGCTGATTAGCATTCTGTTTTTGGTCTTCCTGAATCCAGGTTCAACAACACACTGAACTGTAAACTGGCCAGGTCTAGTCTAGCTTGATTAGTTTTAAGTTCAGTGTATTGTACAAATATAAGAAACTGGGTTTTCAAACATGACCAAGAAAAAAAATATCCATGAAACTATACACCAATCAGCCTAACACCTGGGAAGATACTGGAAAAGATAATCAAAAAACAGATCTGCAAACATCTAGAAACAACGTTATAACTAGTAGCCAGCATGGGTTTGTTAAAATCAGATCATGCCAAGCCAATCTTATTTCATTCTCTGACAAAGTGACTAAATTAGTAGACCAGCAAAATGCTGTGGACATAGTATACTTAGACTTCACCAAGGCATTTGACAAAGAGACTACAACCTACTTCTTGATAAACTAGAAAAATGTGGGATAAACAGCATCACCACCAGATGGATTTGTAACTGGCTGATAAACCATACTCGGTGAGTCCTCCTTAATGGTACTACATCTACATGGAAAGAAGTGAGAAGTGGGGTGCCACAAGGTTCTGTCTTAGGCCCAGTACTCTTCTATATCTTTATAAATGACTTAGATGGGGAATAGAAGGAAAACTCATCAAATCTGCAGATGACACTAAACTGGCAGGAATAGCCCATACCCCAGAAGACAAGCTCAGGATCCAAAAATGTCTTGACAGACTTGAACAATGGGCCTTGTCCAACAACATGAAATTTAATGTGGAGAAAAGCAAGGTTTTACACTGAGGCAGGAAAAAACAAAGGTACAAGTACAGATTAGGCAAAACCTGGCTCAAAAACAGTAACTGTGAGAGGGACCTTGGAATTCTAGTGGACGATCACTTAAATATGAGCCAACAGTGTGCAGCAGCAGCCAAAAAAGCTAATACAATCCTTGGTTGTATAAACAGAGGCATAGAATCAAAATCACATGAAGTATTACTACCGCTTTATAAATCCTTAGTAAGGCCACACCTGGAATACTGCATCCAGGTTTGGTCACATTACAAAAAAGACTTTGGAAAAAGTGCAAAGAGCAGCAACTAAAGCTGATTAAAGGCCTGGAGACTAAAACATATGAAGAATGGTTGCAGGATTTGGGTATGGTCAGTCTAGAGAAAAGAAGGACAAGGGGGGACAGGACAGCAGTATTCCAGTATTTGAGGGGCTGCCACAAAGAATAAGGGGTCAACTTATTTTCCAAAGCAACTGTAGGCAGGACAAGAAACAATGATGGAGACTAATCAAGGAAAGAAACAACCTTGAACTAAGGAGAAACTTCCTAACAGGGAGGACAATTAACCAACGGAACAACTTGCCTTCAGACGTCGTGGATGCTTCATCACTGCAGGTTTTTAAGAAGAGACTGGATAGTCACTTGCCTGAAATGGTATATGGCAGGGATCCCAAACCCGGGGCCGTGGTCTGTTTGGAACCGGGCCCCGCGAGCAGTGGGCTGGTGTGCAAGCAGCTTAACTTGCTGAATGGCAGGCTGGCGTGTGTGCAAGTTGAACTGCGCAGGCATGCACGTGCGCGTTGGCCCACTGCTCACGCAAGTCAAGCTGCAGGCCTGCCAGCCCGCCGCTCGTGCAGCCCAATTCCTCTGCCTCCCCCCGCCGGGCCACCAAGCCGGAAAGATAGGGGACCGTTGGTATATAGCCTCCTGCTTGAGCAAGGGGTTGGACTAGAAGACCTCCAAGGTCCCTTCCAGCTGTATTCTGATTGAAGCACAGATGCCATGCTAAAAAAATGCTAATATCACCTGTATTAAAAAATTAATAACGAAGCCTTAAAGGCCAGGTAAGAACTCTCATCATGTCAAGTTAAGAAAACTCCCTAGAGTAGCTTTTCCCAACTTGTTTCTCCAGCCGGTTTGGAGGAAAGCATGCAATACTCTTTCCTAAGTAAATGACGGAAGTTTAGGGCAATCGATTTGGCTGGAGAAAGTCCCACCGAAGCCGCACGTCTAAAAGAATAAGCTAATTTTCAAGTTGCCTTCCGTTGCTGGAAAAAGGCCACTATCGCTTCTCGTAGCTTCTAGACGGATCTTACGGGCGGGGAAAGGAAACGTCAATCCCTTCTCGCCACTTCTAGCAGGGAAGGTCATCCTGGGAAGAAATTTAATCCTTTCTCCCCCGCCCACCGGGGTCCAGGGAACGCCTTACTTATGCCAAGCTCCGGGGCGGGGCGGGGCTAGCTAGGGCAGAGCGGGATTGATCTGAGCAGCAGTGATGATGTCATTATGCCAGCTCGGCGAGTTTCCTTCCCCCAAAGCCTCCCGCCTTGAACAGGCGCCAATGGCAAGGGAGCCGGCATACAGAGTGCCAGTGGCTGGCATTCACGCATGCGCTGTCTTTTCAAGCGCCTAAGAACGGCAGCAAGGAGAAAAAGCTCTCGCACGCCAGGGCGCGTGATAGACCAAGGCATACCAAATCGTCAAAAGGAGACTGCTCCGAACCTTGGCCGTCCGGCACAAGTAAAGCGAGCGTTCTTGCGCAAAGGAGTTAAGAAATTGAACTGACGTCTACGTGGGCTGTCGCCGAGGCTCCCCCTCCCTTCTCTTTTCCTCCCATTCTCTTGTTTGGCTCCTCCCCCTTCTTTCGCAGGAGAAAGTTCGGAAGAATCCCCGCCCTTTCTCCGCCCCCTCCCCTTTCTCTGTCAGTGAAGGTTCCCGATGGTTCTGGAAAGAGGCGGCGGCGCGGGTATATAAGGCGCTCGGGAGGCGGGGGTTCCGCGCAGTGCAGCTCGTGAAGAGTTGGAGAGGTGCGGATTATCTCGGCAAACGGTCGTGCAGCTGGTGATTTCACACCGTTAAGGTGAGGACGCGGCCGCTTAAACTTAGGTTTTCTCCTCAGAAAATAGAGCTGCCTTTCCTCAAGAGGGCCGGGTTAAAAGACCAGGGCGGGCGATGAGAGCCCGAGGATGCCGGGTTTACTTTGGGCCTTAACAGCTGATGGAAACCGATCAGTGAGACCTAAAAAGCGAGACGTAGTGGCCGGTTTGGCCACACACCTCACGGAGCGACGAGGGGTTGGGGAGAATTGGAGAAGGAACGAGACGATCGTGCTTGCGGGAAAGAAAGACTTAGACCAAGTTACTTAAAAAGGGGGTGACTGGTACGAGGAGCGACCGTGCTGCTTTTCCGACAAGATTTGCTCACAAAGGAAGCGAAGGTGTTTTGGCCTTCGGTTGGATTAACAACCGAAGCAATGTGGATGGAGGAATGAATGGAAGAGCTTGCATGGCCGCCTGGGGAGGGGGGAGGACGACGAATGTTCTCGGCCTGGAAAGGAGGCGGGAGGCCAGAAAAGCGGCTGTCAGGAGGGAAGGCGGACGCCGAGAGAGGAGCGCTCTCCCGAGTTTGGCGGCGCGCGACCGACGGGCTAGCCTCCGCGTCGACGAGAGAATTGGCTCCTGGGCGCGTGCGGGGAGGGAATAGGGGGGGTGGCAAACGGATGTGGGAGCAAGAAGGCTCTAGCAATTTCTAGAATTCTTTCTTGTTTGGCTCAACTGCCAGCAGGTGGCGCAGAGGTTGGCTGTGGAATCCTCGAGACTTCTCGCTTGAGCGTTCAGCTTACTTTGTGGGTGGATTAATGAAGGGACTGGACATTTTATTTCCCATACTGACTGTCATGTGGCAGTCATTTTTTTCGTTCCTTTTTGTGCCATTTCCAGTGTAAATACTCCCACCTGGCTAATAACTTGTAAAATGGATTTTATCCCACCTCTTGCCTATTCAAATGTTTGAGTTCAACAGCCATAAGCTTAATGGTATGCTCAACACATACCGTACTTCATTTTTATCGAAGCAGGTGCTGAAACTAAAGTTTTCAGACTGCTGAAACTATTTTAATTGCTTTTAAAACTATATGACAAATAATCTAATAGTGCTATGTTATGCAATGCAATATGTTAGAAAATCAGTTTTGGTTTTTCTTTTTTGACAGATGCCAGAAGAAGTACAGACACAGGATCAACCAATGGAGGAGGAAGTGGAGACCTTTGCCTTCCAGGCAGAAATTGCTCAATTGATGTCTCTGATTATCAATACCTTTTACTCCAACAAGGAAATTTTTCTCAGGGAGTTGATCTCTAATTCTTCTGATGTAAGTACAATTTCTAAGGATCTAGAATAATGCTTCCTTTATTATTATTTTATTCAACGGCTGTCTGATGTTTTTCAGGCTCTTGACAAAATCCGGTATGAAAGTTTGACAGACCCAAGCAAATTGGATTCTGGAAAGGAGTTGAAAATAAGTCTTACTCCTAACAAACAAGACCGTACCCTAACCCTTGTGGATACTGGCATTGGGATGACCAAAGCTGACCTAATAAATAACCTGGGTACCATTGCCAAGTCTGGCACCAAGGCTTTTATGGAGGCTTTGCAGGCTGGAGCAGATATTTCTATGATTGGTCAATTTGGTGTTGGCTTCTATTCTGCATACTTGGTGGCTGAGAAAGTGACAGTGATTGCCAAACACAATGATGATGAACAGTATGCCTGGGAATCTTCAGCTGGTGGATCATTCACCGTCAGATTGGACAATGGTAAGAGTCCAATTATAATAAATAACTATTGAGGATTAATATTAGGGAAAAAATCCAAACTGCAGCTGTCAGGTCAGGTTTGAAAGCACTTTGAGAAGTAATGGGGAAATATATTTTGTTACTGAAATATATACTGTAACAATTGCTTAACCTTTCCAATCTAATAAAAAACCTTACTGCATACATCAAAAGAATAGTGCTATGAATAATGCAGCATTAAAGACCAGATATTTTTGTTGTTTCCATAATCTAGATGAGTGTATGTCTTGAACCAGTAATGTTCATTTAAAAAAACTTGTTTCATGGATCTTTTAGTGCAACAGTAGTTAAGACAGTAATTTATTTTACAGGTGAGCCTCTAGGTCGTGGTACAAAGGTTATTCTACATCTGAAAGAAGACCAGACTGAGTACTTGGAAGAAAGACGAATTAAGGAAATTGTCAAGAAGCATTCCCAGTTCATTGGTTATCCAATAACACTATTTGTGAGTAACTTGGTTCTCAATAAAATAGTATCTGAACCTTTGTATTTATCTAAATGAAGAATTGCTCTGAAGATGAGATAATTTTAAATTAACTGCATAGAAGCCAATATGCTTACTGGAGCAATTTGGCAACTGTTGCTATTTTTAGGTTGGATTAACAATACTAGAAGCAATTTAAATTCATAATGTGATATAGCAAGCACTTAATGCGAACAAAGGATTGTCCCAGAGTTTATGCATAATTTTGTCTTGTTTATATTTATCAGTGGATTATCTTTCAGAGAACTCTTTCTTCAATTTACTCTTTATCAGGCTATCGGGTTCACAGAATTCTAACCTTTTTCTGTTTTTCTATGCTTAATATAGGTAGAAAAGGAACGTGACAAAGAGGTGAGTGATGATGAGGCAGAAGAAAAAGAGGAAGAGAAAGAAGAAAAAGAAGAAAAGCCTGAAGATAAACCAGAGATTGAAGATGTTGGTTCTGATGAGGAAGAAGAAAAGAAGGATGGTGACAAAAAAAAGAAGAAGAAAATCAAGGAGAAGTATATTGATCAAGAAGAGCTGAATAAGACCAAACCAATTTGGACCAGAAACCCAGATGATATTACTAATGAGGAATACGGTGAATTCTACAAAAGTCTGACTAATGACTGGGAAGATCACTTAGCAGTTAAAGTAAGTTTATTTATTCTTCTTTTGGGAATGGGCCATTTGTTCTTTACATGAATTTTATGTGAAACTCAACCTGACAAAATGATATATCAAAATATAAAGTGGTTTGTGTTTAAAATACATTGACCCTTTATGTAAGTAAACATTGTTTAACCATAAATTGTTGTCCCCATTGTTTAACCATAAATTTGTAAGACCATCTTTTATCTGATATTATTTTAAAGTTTCAGATAATTGGATCCTTTGATGTGAATTTCAGTTTATAACTCTTTGATATTCTTCGCCAAAGATGTTTTGCTAATTTATTTCCTTAATTTTGCAGCACTTCTCTGTGGAAGGGCAGCTTGAATTCAGAGCACTCTTGTTTGTCCCAAGGCGTGCACCTTTTGACTTATTTGAAAACAGAAAGAAAAAGAATAACATCAAGTTATATGTGCGTAGAGTATTTATCATGGATAATTGTGAAGAGTTAATCCCTGAATATTTGAGTAAGTAGTTCTTGTTAAAAGTTGCAGATTGCTACAAGATTGAAAATAGTTATTCTTTGTGTTTAAGGAACCTGTTATGGAAGTGCAGCAGCTATTTGAAAAATCACACAAACCTTAAATTGAGCGGGTATTCTCTTTCTAGAAGGGAAAAGCATAACACCATTAAAAAAGATAATTTAATGAAGGCAGGAAATTTTCTGAAAAGGGAAGCTTACATTTCATAATTAGCTAACTTGTTCCACTTTAAGCTCATAAGTGAGCTTTTAAAGCTTATCTTATATCCTGTGTATCTTAAAGAGGTTTTCTAAGCTAACCTGAGAAATAAGAATATGGTTATAATTTAATCTTATTTACAGACTTCATGAGAGGTGTTGTTGATTCAGAAGACTTGCCTCTGAATATCTCACGTGAAATGCTTCAGCAGAGCAAAATCCTGAAAGTGATTCGAAAGAATTTGGTTAAGAAATGTTTAGAGCTTTTCACTGAGCTGGCAGAAGATAAAGAAAACTATAAGAAGTTCTATGAGCAGTTTTCCAAAAATATTAAGGTTTGTTGGTTTGGAATATTTACTTCAATTTTGCCATAAATGTTTGCATGCAACTTACAAAAATGGAATTTTCTTGCAGCTTGGCATTCATGAAGATTCCCAAAACCGCAAGAAATTATCAGAGTTATTAAGATACTATACTTCTGCCTCTGGGGATGAGATGGTATCACTAAAGGATTACTGCACTCGAATGAAGGAAAATCAGAAACATGTGTACTACATTACTGGTGAGTATACCTTCAAATCATCTAGTTTCTACTTAAATGGGTTTCACTGGGGTCAGAATGTTTTACAGGTAGTCTTCATTTAGCAACTATTTGTCATTACAATGAAAAATAACTTTTGCAGGTCTGTAAAGTAAAAGAAAGTTGAAGTAAGATCATAAACAGTTGTGCTTAGCAACTGCTTTACTTATGGTTGCTAAATGAAGAATAGCAATAGCACTTAAACTATATACTGCTTTACAGTGGGGGTTCCCTAATCCCCTGTGAAATGCCATAAACCAGTCTGCGCAAACAAGCAAAGACCCCATCCATGGGATGCAGGCAGCACATGAAACCACGCCCCCTCTAGTCTGTGGAAAAAACTCCTTTGAACTGGTCCCATGCCCAAAATGTTGAGGACCTCTGCTTTACAGCTCTCTCTTAAGCAATTTACCGAGTCGGCATATTGCTTCCAGCAATCTGGGTCCTCATTTTACCAACCTCAGAAGGATGGGAGGCTCAGTTAACCTTGAGCCAAGGCGAATGAATCTGCTGGAGTCAGCAGAATTAGCTTGCAATATTGCATTCTAACTTCTGCATCATCACAGCTCTTGTAGAGCATTATTCTTGACCGTTTAATGTCTACTCTTACATTACCTTAAGTTGTCAGGCATGTTCGCGAGTTAGCAGATTTGCGTTAAAATTGGCACCATAAATTGGTTGAAATTTACTGAAGGTATATTTTTTTCTTTCAGGTGAAACCAAAGATCAGGTGGCTAATTCTGCATTTGTGGAGCGACTTCGTAAACATGGCTTGGAAGTAATCTATATGATTGAACCTATTGATGAATATTGTGTACAGCAGTTGAAAGAATTTGAGGGGAAGACTTTGGTGTCAGTAACAAAAGAAGGTCTGGAGCTTCCTGAAGATGAAGAAGAAAAAAAGAAACAGGAGGAGAAGAAAGCCAAGTTTGAAAGTCTTTGCAAGATCATGAAAGATATACTTGAAAAGAAAGTAGAGAAAGTATGTATACTTAAGCCGCCACTATAAGTGAATAGAAATTTTTGTTGACAGCCCCTTTATAAAACAGCATACTGCCTTTGACAAGTCCGGTGTGCTATAGAGTTTAGTCAAGTAGTAACGTTTTTTCCCAAAATTGGAATAAAATATTTTTTAAAAGGTGAAATAATTGTAGCTTTCTATAGTGGGTGGTCTTTTCTCTGATTTAAATACTCTTAATTCTTGTAGGTTGTCGTTTCCAACCGACTGGTTACTTCTCCATGCTGCATTGTAACCAGTACATATGGCTGGACTGCAAACATGGAGAGGATCATGAAGGCCCAGGCTCTCAGGGACAACTCCACAATGGGTTACATGGCTGCAAAGAAACATTTGGAGATAAATCCTGATCACTCTATCATTGAAACACTGAGACAGAAGGCAGAAGCGGACAAGAATGATAAGTCAGTGAAAGATCTGGTCATTCTTCTGTACGAGACCGCACTTTTGTCTTCTGGCTTCAGTCTAGAGGACCCTCAGACACATGCCAACCGTATCTATAGAATGATAAAACTTGGTTTGGGTAAGTTAATCTTAGTAAAATTAGGATGTGTCTTTTTCATAGAAGAATCTGCTGGGAGATACTTCTACTGCAAAAAAAAAATAATTGTGTTCACTTTATACAGGCATAGATGAAGATGATGCCACCACAGAAGAAACAAGCCCAGCAGTTACCGAAGAGATGCCACCACTGGAAGGAGATGATGACACTTCACGTATGGAAGAAGTGGATTAAATACCCAATTATCTGAAAGAAATGTGGATATTCCCTTTGTTCTTGGCTTTGAATAAGTTATGTTTTGTATATTATGAATGTTAACCTGCTGGAAAATTCATGACACTTGTTTGCATTCCCTCTTTATATTTATTTTTTGAAGATGTTAATTCTTTTATTTTTGTTACATTTGCTTTTCTTAGGTAATGTGGAATGCCATTGAGGGAATGTTCTTGATATATAACCCTGTACTTTGGCAAATAAGAATATCTGGGTAGTTTATGGCAGGAATTTGTGCTGATGGACAGAAAAAGGGAGTAAGTGGGAAATCCAGTTCTGCAAATGTTATGGTTAAGTCTCTTGAAGTTAACAATTGAACACCTGTATCTTACAGTACCTGGTAACTAGGTATTGGAACTGAATATTGTGGAATATTTAACATCAGAATTCCAACCTGTTGATGTTTAGTTTTTTATAATGTAAAAAAAAGATTCTGAATTCCACACTTAACATAGAATAGAATCTACTGTAAATCTATTGTGTTTAATGCAGTTTTGCATGTATGGTTCTACTCTGGAACTATCTAGAAATAAAAGTGTTCAAAATGAACTTGAGACAAATGACTATGTATTTAATAACAAGTGAATATAAGCTTTTTTATTAGGGGTTATGAATTGCATTTCAATTGAATTACATTTTATAAGAATAGAGGATAATTTGTACAAAATAGAATCTTCAGAATTTGCTTCCCAAAAAAGTGAGGAAAATATTCTAAAAATACTTCAGGTACCTCAAAACAGAAACAGGCAGTATGGTAAAACCACACTGGGTTTTATTTAAGAATAATTGATATGAAAGGCACCATGGAGGTCTTGTAGTCCCATCCCCACCCCCCCCTGCTCAAGCAGAGGATCCCATACAATTTCAGATAGATGGCTGCCCGGTCTCAAATCTCCAGTGATTTAGTACCCACAATTTCTGGAGGCAAGCTATTCCACTAATCAATGATTCTGTCAGGAAATGTTCCTTTAGTTCTAGGTTGCTTCTCTCCTTGATTAGTTTTGCATCCATTTCTGCTTGTTCTGCTTTCAGATGCTTTGGAAAATAAGATCTAAAATGTGCTTCTTGTTCATCATATATTACTGTACAAACCTTGGCAAAATAGCCAACAGAACTGGTTACCGGCAGGGTAAGGGGACCTAAATCCCTTTCTGGTAGATTACATGAATGCTGGTAATGCTAGAGCAACTGCTGGTTATACATGATGACAGTGTTATACTAGAACTTTTTAAAACAAGGTCAGCCTGAAAAAAATGAGAAAAAAGTATGATAGATAAAATATTAGCTGTTTACATATGACACTCCTTCCCCAGCAAGGTTACATCACAATTCATTTCCCACATTCAACCCTTCAATTCCAGATATCAAGCCATTTTTACCAATTTCAGTAAATATCCATAAAGGTATCAGAAGACATAAAGTTGTATCCATGATCAAAAGATCAATTTTTTTTTGCTAGTTGTCTTCATAGTCCAATTCTCGTGTGGATAGTTCTGTTTTTCCATCTTTCTACAAAAAGTAGCTTTGTTGCAAATACCATGTATAAATCCAATCTTACACGTTTTTTCTAATTGGCTATAACACCTAGTAGAAAAAAATACGGTTTCATTCAACTTTTAATTTGTAAAATTCTTTGCATTGTTTGTTTTTGTTTGTTTTGCTTTTTCACAAATCCAACATGTCAAGCAAGTCCTTTCATCCATTCCAGTTTTCTGGCAGTTAAAATTTGTAATGGTTAAACCAACCCAATCCCTGACCAGAAATCAAATCTATATTAACTTTCACTGTTAACATATTTCATCAAGGTCCTAATGAGGACTGTTCCTACATGGCTTCATTGCTAGATGGCAGAAATTTGCAACTCCTTAAATTACTTCTTGGAGTCTTCCAGTAAACCTGCTCAAAGTGATACTTTAACTGTGATACTTTTACTTAACTGAGGGTTAAGTAAAACAGAATAAAACATTACAAAATCAGTATTGTCTTACTAAAATGGCTGCGGTGCAAATATAGTACTGAAATTATTATGCCTCTTGACCAGAAAGCTAAAGAGTTTGTTTCAGTTTAAGAATATACAATATGTATTACATTTCTATTGTAAACCCTTAGTCAAGAGGTTATGGGAAATATTCAGAAGGCATAATTCCTTGCACTGATCCATGCTTCATATTTTTATTAGTATTTTTCAAACGGTTTTGTTACAAAATACTGATATTCTTATGAGGGTAACCTCATACTGATAAGGGTGATGTCATAATAGAGAATATTCCATAGCACATGCTGTTATAGCAACAACTATAACAGCATGGAATGATTGTCTTGATGTTACATACCATGTTTGCGTTTAGATGAGATTGTCTTGCAAGTTAAATACATTGGCTTGCATTTGGAGTGTAAGTAAAGTTAACTGAAAGGTAGGCTCATTCTACTTGGAATGATTCTAATATGCACAGGTGTCAAATTCGATCACATCACGTGATGTATCACAACATTTTTTGCGGAGCCAGGGTGGGTGTGGCCTACACGTGATGCATCTGGCTTGTGGCCCATCAGTTGACACCCCTGCTGATACGAATACATTAGTTTACCATTCACAGTTTAATAGATTGGGAGGCAATTTGCTTCATTCTCTGCAAAAAATATGTGAGTGCAAACTAGGTGTTATGCTTAATAGCCAACTCCTTTTTCACACACCCAAAAAAAGTTTTGGGAGCACTTAAAGTGAAGTATAGAAGCCATAGCAGGAAAGTGCTTGTCTCCCTTCATCTCCTACAATTCTGGTCCAACTTCTTGTCTTTCTCACATCTTCTCACAACTACACCCGTTGCCAGTTACTTCCTTTCCTGAGTACAATCAGGCTCCATGAGGAACAGCTTTTCTGCTTTTATTACAAAACATGACCAGTTTAGGGCCTACCAGCTATTTTGGGCACTCTGTACTGAGTCACAATAAGTGGGAGTAACATTAAAACTCCTCTCAGGTGTTTGGCTTCTCCAAACCTCTCCTTGGGGTAAGAAAGGCACAAGTAGACAATAAGGCCGTTCATTTTCAGTGGTTAACTCCCATATATATAGGCTTTTTTTTCTAACTTTTAGATTTCAACTCTAATGGATTTTACCAAGTTTCCAGACTGTATGGAGGGACTCGGAGACAGATTCATGGTAAACAGTTTATTTTCCTGTCCTTAAATTTCCCCCTTAAGTATTAATATGTTTGGTAATATATGGAACATAATACTCTGCAAAATTTATAAAACAAATCATTGTTATACAGTAAAACCTCTGAAAGTTGACCACCCAAAGGACTGAAGGAAAGTGGTCAACATATGGAACAACTATACTGATATGTACATGTGCCTCGTTTTATTGTATAGCTTTTATTAGAGAATGTCATACATAAAGACAAGTGAAAACACAGGAAAATCATTCATACAATACTATATCATACAAAATCATTACATTCATGTATGTATTGTTTTCTCATGGTTTGTTCATTCTTTCTGAAAAAAAGTCAATTTTAGTCTGTTATTTTTTTTATGAAGGTAAACAGAGAAAGCACTCTCAACATTGGCTATACCACTCAACATACCTGGGCATTTTCCCTCAGCAAATGACTTTAACTGCATTATCAAATTGCTGACATCCTCTTCTTTTGGAATATCTGCAATTTCTGTGTCCTCACTTAATTCTTCACTTAATTCTACAGCTTAATCAGTTGCTTCCAGCACTTTTCCACCGGATTGTACCTCAGTCAATACTGATTAGAAAATTGTTTCTGGGTTAGGTTCATTACAGATTGCCACGTCATCATCCATTGTAATAAAATCTATTCTCTTGAATTCCGCCATGGGAGGTGAGCCGTCTAGTGGGGCTGCAACATCTTGGTCTTGGGTCGTCACAAATCCAGCTTTCTTGAAGCACTTCTGTATTGTTTCAGACTGAACTTTTTCCAAGCAGACCAGCATCCAGAGCAATAATTGATGCAACAGATGGTTTTGCTTCTGCAGATGAACCATAGGCTTCATTTTAACAATGGCCCACGGCAAAAGCTGGGCTCAGTGGTGCATTCTGAATGTTTTGATTATGCCTTGGTTGAGAGGTTGAATTTTTGATGTAGTGTTTGGAGACAAAAATTTCAGTTTCACGTTTGTAAGATGATTTGCTTGAGGATGGCTAGGAGAATGGATCGTTTCTTCTTAATTTTTCCGTCACTACCTCTTATCCATTCCTCAAATAGGGCACCAGTCATCTATATAGATTTGTTAGATTTCCAGGTGACGGGAAGGTCTTTGGGCTGCAGGTTCTTGAATGAGCATGGCTTTGCCGATTTACCAATCACCAAAGGTTTTAGCTTCTCTCCGGTTAACTTAGCACACAGCAGAACTGTGAAATGTTCTTTATAAAGTTTTCCACTCTTACACTGTCACCCCTCATAATGAGGCTCCTGTCAGGCATCTCCTTGAAAAAGAGTCCACACTTGTCAGCGTTAAAGATGTTGTCATCTTTGAAGTCACTGGTGAATTCTGGAAATTTTTCAATGAACATTTCAACAACTTCTACTGGAACTCCATCAGAAATGGGAGATTGTGAGTTCTAATTCTGTCTTAGTCATAAAGCCAGTGAGATGACCTTGGGCCAGTCACTTTCTCTGAGCTTTAGAGGAAGCAATGGCAAAATTTTGCCAAGAAAACTGCAGGGACATCCAAGCAATTGTCAGTAACCAATTCTGACTTGAAGGCTCAAACTCACATTAAATTATCTGGAAAGTTCCAATCTCAGTGAGCAGCCTTTCCAAAGGAGAATAGGTTAGAATTGGCAGATAGCAGGAAGGAAAACATACGATAGATCCTAAACCTCTTTTTTCCTTTATGCTGCTGCAGGAGCAATTGGAGCAACGAAGAGCTAGTCTCAACAATAATTCATTTGATATTAAGACTTATCTGTATTATTTCCAGACAAACAATTGTGTCTGCCCATAATTATCCCACACCTTCTCCATAGAAAGGCGGGAACACAGCATAGCAGTAACACAATTGTTCTGTATGCAGTGCAGGCAGTTCTAACTCTACTGGGGAAGTATCCATTAAAATCCTGAAAAGCCACTGTTGGTAAAAACCAGATGAGTGCATCAGGAGTTAAATTCATTTCCTAAGGAAAAATCTCAACCTTAAAAGGCTGAACAACCTGAGAATAAACAATCTCTTTCATGAATATTATGATTATGTGTTTTTGAGAGAGAGGCTTGTTTTCTGTAGGCCCTTGGCTGAAGATAGACATAATCCCAATGTATTAACAAAATTGCCACACTATTGCAGGATCCAATCTGGGTGGATCAGAGGTTTAGTCTTCCAAGCTTTCAGACTCATGCTGGAGCCCATCCTCAGGGAACGTCTCTCTAGCAGAGTGTGTGCTTTCGGCTATTCTGTGTGTGGTATGCATATGGTGCCTGGTTGTGTGTGGCTTTTTAGTTATTGATTGGGGTTTTGATGCCCGGCTATTAAGTCACTGGCTGTTGTTTCCTTGTGATGCCAAGTCCTTGCTTTCTAAGTACTTGATAAACTGGTGATAAATCAGCACTCCTAAGTCTGAAAACCTGGAAGACTAAACCTCTGGTCCCAGTGACCCACCTAGATTGGATCCTGCAACATTATCTTGGGACACGTATATTTGCCTTCATTTGCCACACTATTTAATTTGGTCTGTGCCAACCAGTGGAATAGATACAATACAGGCAAGAGAAAAGAGGTCTTCATTCCACAGCCAGTTAATGAGTAGAATTGGCTACCACCAGCTGTAGCAAGTATACACCATTTTCCAACTTTATAGAGCAGATACAATGAACAGCCCATTGTTGTCCAATTTTGTCATTTTGACCATGGTTTATGGTGTCCAAGGTTGATTGGAACTGGACTCCAATAGTATGATGGACTTCTCCTGAATTAAGAAAAAAATGAGTAACTTTAAGATATATCATAAGACATTTAAAACAGAGTATAGAAATTAATGGAAAAGAACTCGGTCAACCACTATGATATTTATAAGTAATTTATATTCTGAGAGATCACCTTCTGAATACCAAATTGTGGAAATATTTAAAAAAGCTGTTATCTTCTTATAATAAAAAGTAACAGCAGTTTTGCACTGTTAGAAATATATTGTAATAAAACTATTTTTTAAAAAAAGACAAATCGGTAAAATGATATTTTTAAAGGATGGTTTATAGTATTCAGACACGCTAGTCTAGTTGTTCATTATTAACCATTAACCAAGTTGTTGGTTCTTTTCTCCAAATTAGACATGTACAGAGGAATCTAGGACAAGACCAAACTATGAAGCCAACTTTAAGGTAAAGAATGCTGCTCTCTTATCTACAATTCTTCCTGGCTTGAAGGCTAGAGGAATGAGAGGGGAAAGTCCTTTCTTTGAAAATGCCACAGTGAGATTTTCAAATGCACCCAATATTTTGTTATCAGAATTATTAATCTAAAGGGAAGTAAGTTTCAAAGTCCCTACTCTGAAGTAAGATGCAGATGGAACAACAATTGGAAAGCTAAAAATAATGGTGATAATTTCTATGATATTCTTTTATAATAAGAATTATATAGTTTCTATACATGTATTAGAAATATATAAATGGTTGAATAATATTTGCATTAGGCAAGTATATACAGAATTGTAACTGTAATGTAATTTTTGTCATATTTCTTTCATCTTCTTTGTTAAAATACTTTTTATATGTTCCTTTTTTATCTCTTTGACAATGTATCACCATCACTATTTTTGCTTTTTGTTAAAAAGCAATAAAAATAATTTACAAAAAATAACAAGAATTCCATGGTTTAATTGGTTTCATATCATAGGCTTTAAGTTGCCCTTTTAAATAGCATTTTTAGAAATGAGGAACTATCTCACTTTAATTCAGTGTTTCTCAACCTTGACAATTTTAAGGCATGTGGACTTCAACTCCCAGAATTCCACAGCCAGCAATGCTGGCTGTGGAATTCTGGGAGTTGAAGTCCACATGCCTTAAAATTGTCAAGGTTGAGAAACACTGCTTTAATTGGATTAGCTTGTCCTATTTTGTCTGGTAGAAGAGACATGCTCCAGATCCTTCAGACAAGAAATAGCAGCTGGCAGGATAGGAGAAGAGCCATTTCTGCTGTGGCTCCTGTCCTTTGATATATTGTGCCCTCTCAGGGAATTGTGCAGCAAGTCCAAATAAAGTCAGAGATGTTGACACAAACTTATAGTTTTAGTTAGATAAATACGCTTAACATTTATATTTACAGCAGATAAGATAGTCAGGAACACAGGAACATCATACAGCATACAGAGCACACAGAAGAAAAAGGCAGGCAAAAGGGAAACTCCCCCTTTACACCCACAGCAACCAATCATAGCATAGATTGCTTTATGCATGAGCCAGCATTCTCCAATCAGCTACAACTCTGTGTCCTATTGTACACTTAACTGTTCCAGCTACTAAATTAAATATCCTAACATGCCCCCCCCCGAAATGAGATCTGCCCCCACCCTCTTGGCCCTCCGGATAGGCCTGAAGACCTGGCTCTGCCCGCTGGCTTGGGCCCCAATGGGAGTGTCTCATTTTGGAGGTAACTACTAAGTAGACTAATAGAACATTCCATGCACGCTTTAGTTTTATTATTTTGTTGTTAACTTAATGCTTTAACTTTGAGCCCAATATTTTATTCTTTGGATGTTTTGTTTTATATCATTATTTAACATTGTGAGCCACCCAGAGTCAATAGTGAGATTTTGGTGTATAAATTTAGTAAATGAATATTTAAAATACCGGTATTTAGTTTTTCTTTTAGTATGATAAGCCAAATAATGGCAATGTAGATGCACACAAGAAACCCAACAAACCCAACATTTGGTTGGGTTTCTGACCTTGGTATTGATCAGGCTTTTTGTGGATGTCTTGTTCAACATCCCAGGAGAACTTTCTTACATAGGTGGATTAAAAATTGGAGTGGCCTTGCAGTAATTCTATTCTGTGAGAGATTTGAACTCATGGAGATTGGTGATTTGAAATTTCCTAGGGCTATCAATCAACTAGTGGTTGGAAATGGAGTCAACCGTATTTTGTTTGCTCCACTTTGTCTGTTTATTAATTGCCTAGTAATAATGTTATATCCAGTTCTATTGGTGTCTTTTTAGCCCTTGATTTGAATGCCAGGCTTCAGGAATTTTCTGGCTCTTCTGCTATTGATGTGAAGGCATGTTAGCTATTGTGTATTTGAAATCTAGGCTCTTTATTACAGTTTTGTGTTCCTTAGTTCTTTAATGAAACTAGCACTCTGTTTGTCACGTCTAGTGCTGGTTGCAATGCAGGCAGTTAATGTTGTATATATCACTAGTTCTGTCTTTATGGGATGTCTATGGAGATTTTCAGTCATCCAGGTTATGGTTGTCACAAAGGTGCAAGGTTTTTTTCTTCAAAAGGCAACTGGACTGTTTTTTCTTGAGGAAGAAATGTTTTTTTTTCCTCAAAGAAGATGTTTCGTTTCTCATCCAAGAAGCTTCATCAGATCTGATGAACTCATGACGCTTCTTGGATGAGAAGCGAAATGTCTTATTTAGGGGAAAAAAACATTTCTTCCTCAACAAAAAACATAGTCCAGTTGCCTTTTAAAGAAAAAAAAAGAACACCTTTGAGATGTCTTGATGGGATGTGCAGTTTTATGGAAAAGCGGGGAAATAATGGATCCATTTCAACTCAGTGGTTCTATTATTTGTTTGATACTTTTCAAGCAATTCATGTTCAGTACATTATTGCAAGGTTCCAGAGTAATTTTAGGCAGGAACAGATCATACGGTTTTAAAAATACTTCTAAAATATGCTTGTGAGTTTTTATGATCTAATTTTGTGTGGAACAGGATATGCTACATAAGCCTCCAGATGGACTCCAAGAAAAAACAGGTCAAGTGGCACATGAAGTAGGTTTGTATATTTTTCAGCTTTATTATATAGTATTTCAATCACTGTCAGTTCTATAGTTGGACCAAGATTTGAATGGAGCTTAAAGCCTTGTAATGTAATCCTAGGATGTGTTTGAAACAGTACATGAGATGGGTAACCATACACTAGTCCTTCTTAATAGGAATAATTTGGACAAAGCTGGGATTTGGACATATATAATTTTGCATTCTTATTTGCCAGTTGAAAATTTCTTCTCCAGTTATGTTGAGACTATAGCTCCTAGAATACCTTTCCTGCATACATTCCAAGTCTTAGATTTGTAGTTACAACACAATAGGAGAATCATTTGTGGTGAATTGGTTAGAAGGTATTCTCTAAGTAGGATTAAAGATGTAGGACTGAACTAGCAAAATGCATCTGCCAAAGAATGTAGGTGGACTGTGCATATGCTTTCTGTCTGAGAATTTCACACCAAGACTGCTGGCAGCCAATTGTAGACATTTTATTCTCTGCATCATCAGGGTTGCTTGGCAGCAGAGGCCCGAAAACACCTGCCAGTTCTGAAACCCTCAATGTGAATAGCTCTTGGGTACCACATCAACATCTAAATGGCTAGACGCCATAGATCTATAAAATGTCTTAACAAATTGTAATTTTTAATGTAACAGAAGGAAAAAAATTAAATATATGTCTGGAGGGTTATCACATGAACTACAATTCATTTTATTCTTTCTTAAATATAAACAAAATTAAGATAATTTAGCATTTGTCCTACTTTCATTCATAAGAGATCTCTCTCTGACATACTATTTAAAGACCAAATATAGCTCTTGAATCAGAAAAAAACTGAGCATCCCTGTTATAAAATCTTGATTGTGGCTCGTCAAGCATGAGTCTGGCCTATAGACACAAAGCCTGATTTGCCTCTGGGACTTTAGTCCTGCAGTCTCCTGAATTATATTAAACTTTCTTTATAATCCTCCTTTTCCAGTCCAGTTGTTCTACCCACCATAAACATGTAAAATGTGAAAATGGGATTTATTGCACGTTGACTGGGATTCAGATTTGTCCGTATGTCACATTTCAATGGCTTTGAAAACGATGCTGAACCATTAATTCTTCCATCACTCCAATATTTTTTATAAATATTTTCTTTAACAGATGCTTTTTCCAATAGCTTTTTCCAAGTTCATTTATTGCTATTCTGTGTCCCTGTTCCCACAAGTGCTTGAAAGGATCAATGGGAGGCTCATTTTATTGTAGGACCACTAAAAAGGGCAATTGATCCAGACCCTGGAATTATATTAAGCCCTAACTATGCACAGAATTGAATTAACTCCATCAATTGAGAAATATTTATATCCTGTTAGTTTGCGAGGTATGCCAATTACTAATCATCAATGAAAAGGAGGAGAGGAAAACCCACAGAAACAGCAAGCTTCTTCATGGACTGTACTCACTGCCAAAGCCTTCTCCTTCACACAGATTGGCTGTAAAGGCCAGACTATGCTCAGTGCTACCTGCCTGGACAATGAAGTGGCCAGTGAGGTAACAAAGCCTCGACAATGTTCTCCTGCTCCAGAGACTTCATGGGATACCAGGCCTATCTTGGAGAAAGTGGCTGGAGCTGATGTTCTAAAAATGGCCACTTTGAACAGCGTTATTGCACTGTGCCAGAATTACTGCTAGGAAAATCTGACTTCATTGAGATTATGGTAGTTTGGTTTAATGCAAGATGTTACTTAAAACAAGATGCCAGTTTGGACCGTCAGTTTTGTAGTGAAAGGTAACCAAAAATCAAAGTATAATTGGGCCCAAGTTGAGTGAGTTACTTTTCAGAGAAAGTTATTTGCGTAGTGTCAAAACAAGAAATTATAAAAAGATGGTAACACAAGAGAGAATTCCAAGCATGAGAAATGTAACACAGAAGCAAATGTAGCAGGTTTCCTAATTTAGAGTTAGGTCTGCAACCCAAGGTCTTTGCTGCTGTCCATTGCTAGTACCCAGAAGAGATTGTGATGATGTGGCAAAGGCAGCAAGTCAGATTCCTGCCCCATCAAGCTTCCTGTGGTCTGTCAAAAGAAAGGGATTGTGGTTGTATGTCTCTATCCTCTCTGAGCTGGAGGCATTTCAGCACTCCCCATTCTAGATAGTTTGTTGGAACCAGGAGCAAATATTTCTATCCTGGTACCCCATAGCTATAGCAGAGTTTCAGCTAGTATACTTTAGTTTCAGTGGAATTCTGGAAGTTGTAACTAAATAGCATTAGGTTGGGAAAGTCTTAAATATCATAGTATTTGATGTTCATGGATCTACTTGGCCATTTGTAAAATGGGGTGTGTAAAATGGATATCTGTAGAATAGCACAGTGATGGCAAACCTTTTAGAGACCGTGTGCCCCAAAACTGGGCCCGCCCCTGCTCCACCCCCTGACCCACCCCTGCTCCATCCCCATCCCCCGCCACCTGCCTGCAGGACCACTCACTGCCTCCAGGGCCTGCCGCAGATCGCCCAGGCAGCCCAGCAGCGCTATGGCGGTCACGCCCTCTGCCCGCTCCCTGCAGCATCAACTGTGCACAATGGGGTGTGAGGGCAGAGTCTTGTCTACACTGCCTGGCTGTCATGTCTTTGGCTGTGCTGCTCTGCGTGGGCCATGCTCAAGGGCAACTCTCCTTCAGGGGGGCTGCTGGAGAGGATGGCGTCGCGGGGGGAGGCAAGGCTGGGGCAACAACACATGTGCCTACAGAGAGGGCTTCGAGTGCCGTCTCTGGCACCTATGCCATAGGTTCATCACTACTGGAATAGCAATTAGGTTTTTCCCATGTTTGCTCTTCCTCTCTTAATAAAATAAAATAAAATGAATGAGAGGAAATTCCCCATTCCATTCTTTGCAAGAAAAGAAACATCTACCATTATTGGTGGTGAAATTCCTAACTCTTCTCTTAATAGATCAATGGAAAGTGGTAGAATCAAAACCAAAACTTCCCTTTTATGGTACTTGTTCATAATACCATTATACCCCACTGAGTCCAAATCAAAATAAAAACAACATGGACAAATAGCAATAGCAATTAGACTTATATATTGCTTCATAGTGCTTTACAGCTAAGTGGTTTACAGAGTCGGTGTATGGCCCCCAACAATCTGGGTCCTCATTTTACTAACCTTGGAAGGATGGAAGGCTGAGTCAACCTTGAGCTGGTGAGAATCAATCTGCTGGAGTTAGCAGAATTAGCTTACAATATTGCATTCTAACAACTGCGCCACCATGACTCTGAAACTGCATAAATAGAGCACTATTCTTTACATTTGATATTAGCATATTCTTTACATATGGAAAAAATTCTACTCAAGCCCTATTTAACAAAGTTTATCCACCCCCCAAATGGGCGCAAGGCTATGTCAAGTATATATGTCCACCCATATCATGCACATTGTTAAGCTCCTCTAGAAAACTAGATCAGAGAAACTCCATTGCATGTGCAGCTATGTGAGACCAAATCTTCCTCCTATCAATGCATGAATCCCCCTCTTTGCAGGAGTCCATACTTTCCTGGATTCTCTGTCAAAAGCAAGGAAAAAAAGAATAGCAATTCTAGAAGAAATGGCCAGCTTGGAAGAGTCTTCTCTACTTCAAAATGTAGCAGCTAGTTGTATTTTTTAAAAAAAGCTTACAGCCATTGACCATTAAAAATGCAACGCAATAACTTCTTATCTCAGTGCTCTTGTTAAAAAACTTCCAAGGCTAAATACAAAGACAATCTCTTTGCAAAACCATAACCATACGATGACCAAAACATTTCCTTTCTGGTTCTTTGCAGGTCAACAGTGGAAGAGAAGAAACTGCACCAAAGGAGCATTCAATGTCATTGCCACAACTGGATCCATGAAACTGCGGAAAAAAAGGACAAACCTGACCCATAAGGTGCTCCAAGGGTGTTCTCTCACTGGGGGAGAGGGAAAAGGGTATAAGGCTGGTCATACTAGAAAGATACAGATAGTGACAAGTCTTGTGTTTCTTTTGAAGACGTTTCGCTTCTTACCCAAGAAGCTTCTTCAGCTCTGACTAGATCAGCGGTTCTCAACCTGTGGGTCGCGACCCCATTTGGGGTCGAATGACCATTTCACGGGGGTCGCCAAACAAGGCTGTCCGCCATTCCCCCCCCTTTTCTTTAGCTGTGCTACTCCCTCTTATTCTATTGGCTTTTGAAAGCCAATAGAATAGACTCTATTCAAGAGACTCTCTTCTATTGGCGTTCGAAAGACAATAGTATCTGTTGGCTTTTGAAAGCCAATAGAATTAGACTCTCTTGAATAGAGTCTAATTCTATTGGCTTTCAAAAGCCAGTAGGAATTGTCCAGGCTGTCTCTGCCCTGCTGAGACCGCCAAAAGCCCCAGTCTGCAAACGGTGCTGCAAGGAAAGCTTCCCTCCCTGCTGAGCAACTACTAAAAGTAAGTAAAAGAGGGCCAGAGGTGGGAGATGGGAGGCTGGCGAGTGCAGGGAGGGTTGCTGGCGCGTGTGGGGCCCGGCGGGTGCCTTACCTGCCTGGGCTGGGCCAGCTGGTGGCCCAGCCGGTGGTCGCCCTGCGCCGTCGCTGCCCCTTGCCAGCAAGGCCTCGGCCGGCGCAGGGGGCAGCACCACGCATGTGCAGCGCTCCCGGGCAGGGAAAGTCCTTGACTTACGACCGGTTAGGTAGTCCTCGACTTACAACCAGTTGGGTAGTCCTCAACTTATGACCAGTTGGATAGTCCTCGACTTACGACCAGTTGGGGGTCGCGGCATTAAAAAGGTTGAGAACAACTGGACTAGATAGATGGTAGGGAGTGGAAGGATTTATGTTGCTTGCAGACAGATGGTCATTTGCATTCGTTTAGAGAGTCATTGAAACCATTTGGAGGTTTACCTTTGTCCTCAGGGTCATCTGAGTAATGCAAATGTGTGTGGAGCGTTCTTGGCTGTAGGATGTTTTCTGCCCTGTGTCCTTTCACTGTTGAAAACTGTACACTGTACAGGAACCATTTGTGCTTCAGTTTAAGATTCAGACAGCGCAGACTCATCTCCAGCAGCCTGTGCTTGTTTTCAAACTTGGAACAGTGTAAAAAAAAACCTCCCTAGTGTGGTATTGTCCAGACAAAAGGTCTTGATTGGGTTCTCAGTATTATGAAGGTTAGGAACAACATATCTCAGTGGCACAAAATTGGAGGAGACCTTTAGCTCCAGCATTGCCTCCCAATCTCCTGATGAGCATCTGAACAGTAGGAACATTTGGTACTAGATAACTATGTCCTCAGCCCTACTGCAACATGGAAAAATGATAATGCAGGTTTATATAACAGATTTGTTATAACCTGCTTAATATAGTTTTGTATCACTTCCTCTATGAAAACACTGAAGCTCATACCCACTTTTAAAACAGAAAAATAATAATTGAGGCTTCTTAACTATCAGAGAAAACAGAATTCCAGAGGACAGTGTCACCAGAGGGAAAGACCCATTTGAGAATATATGCCAGAGGCCAATCTGTAAATGATGGCATAATTATCTTTTACTAAGTATTCAAATTGTCCCGATTTATAATGGAAGATTATTTGATATTTATCCTACTCTCTTCTGGGAACAGAAGCAAGCTCAACTGAATCACATACTCATTGTCTTCTCCTTTATCATCACTCACTGTTGTAGACAGATGACTTTGAGTAACATAAAATGCACAGCAACTACTAAATATGATAAGTCTAGCATGCAAATAGACATTTATCTTCTAATCAAGCTCTAACTGAGTGATAGGCAACTTGTGGCCCTATTTTGGTTTTTATTTAAAAAAATGCAACATGTAGAGTCGCAAGTAACCACAGGTTGATTTACTAGATATTTACTGGCTGGTGGAAAATATATTATTGACGGTAGGAACACTGAGTAAAGGAAATCTGTTGAGCTGTTTCTCTCCCCTAAATACATATCAGTAAATACAGTGGAACCACTTCCTCTTTATTTGAACCTCTGATTACCTGAATGGTTTAGGTTCCTTTTTCTCCCCTTGCTTCATCCTTTCGGTTGAAATATTTATAAGATAATACCTAATGCTGCTTTGTTCTAACAGCTTTCAGATTCTGGTGGCAGATTCTGGGAAGAATTTTCAATTCATCTTGATCATACCACAAGTTTTTCTAAGTACTCCAGGTATCAACATGCTAATGTTTCCGTCACTGATCTGATAGAGGAATTGAAAATAGAGGACCAAAATTCCCTGTCTGCACTTCCTGCAGCTTGGCTTCCTTCAACAGAAAGTCCCAACGACATTGATATGGAACCCACCAGTGATCTCCAAACTGCAAATGAAATGCTGAATCTGCCTCAAAGATATTCAAGGACTGCAGAACCTTCCACAGATTTGGGAGCTTTTATTGATGCAGCAGGACTGATACCTGATCACTCTTTGCTCATGGATGTTGAGTTTTCAGAATCTGCAGGACTGTCATCAAATCCTACAGTGGCTCCTTTGCCCCTGCTAGCAGGATCTGATGGTGACATTATGATGCATGATGAAACAATGATCAGGAAGTCAAAAGGGATGCCAATTCTAGAACGAGTTGGGGAAACCCTACGGCAAAAAAAACTGCGGGCCACCCAGGCTTGAGGTAGAAAATGGGTATTTGTTAATATTACATGTAATAGAAGAACAGTGACAATACCTGGTGGGTAGTGCAATAGAAGAAAGAAAATATTTTTCCAAATTTGCTCCTTTCTTTTCTTCTTGCTTACATATCTTCTCTATGTCCTTTTGTAAATAGAAAACTTGTCCATTTTTTTGTGTGTTCCATAGCAGATATGTAGCTGGCCAGATCCCTACATTTCCTTCAGTCCCCATCCAAGTTTTTCGGGATGACAGAAAATAGAGAGCAGCCCTCCTTCCCAATTCCTTGGCTGCCCTACCCTAAGACTTTTGAACAAGCTACAGACTGTTCCAACTGTCTTCTTGGATAATAATTCTGGAGATGATAGGAGTTTCAGTCCCACATAAGAGCAGAAGGCTGAGGACTGTTGAAAAAAAGACATTCAGCCACATAGACCAATAAATTGACTTAGCAAGGTGGCAACTGTTATTAGAACCCATTTTTTCCAAACAATATAGAAGAAAAAAACACCCCCAGTGTTAGCCACTTGCATCCTCAGAGGGAAAGCTTATGTGTAACAAAAATGTGCACATTTTCTTTTTTAACCCATAGTCCCTCTGCGCAAGGTTATCCAAGGTTTCAGACTTACTGTGTGATGCAAACTCAAAATGATGCATTTTTGGATTCTTTAACCATACTTCTGATAGCAAACTTTGGGTCACATGTTATGTTATGCTAAACATGCTATGTACATTCTCCATACATCCTGTATTTAGTTGCCTTTTTCTATGATTTTTCTTACTGAGTGCAGTTTTACTATTAGGAAGCACCAAAGTTCTGCATATTCTTAATACGTTTAATTTTGTGGCAATGGAATAATACTGAACATGGCTTATTGTCTCACTTTCCATTTTTGCAGTGATGTTGAAATGAATCACATTGCTCCTTTGGAGTCTTTTCTACTGTCTGTGAATGCTTAACTCTGATGAGCATAAATGGATTTTCACAGCTTCACAAATAAATGTGTTTTAAAATAACTCCAGTGAAATAAAACAAAAGATGGGGAAGAAAAGAACGTATAGTTGAGTTTTTGTGTATGTATGCGAAAAAGAGATTAAATATCAATCAGAACAGAGCTGGAAGAAACCTTGGGGATCTTCTAGTCCAAACCCCTGCTCAAGCAGGAGATGCTATACAATTTGAGACAAGTGACTGTCCAATCTCTTCTTAAAAACCTCCAGTGATGGAACACCCACAACATCTGAAGGCAAGCTGTTCCACTGGTTAATTGTTCTCACTGCTAGGAAGTTTCTCCTTAATTCCAGGTTGCATCTACCCATGATTAGTTTCCATCCAGTGTTACTAATCTTGCCTTCTGGTGCTTTGGAAAATAAACTGACCCCCTCGTCTTTGTGGCAGCCCCTCAAATACTGGAATACTGCTATCAAATCATCCCTAGTCCTTTTTTCCTCTAAACTGGCCATATCCAGTTCCTGCAACCGTTCTTCATATGTTTTAGTCTCTAGGCCTTTAATCATCCTAGTTGCTCTTCTCTGCACTTTTTCCAAGTCTCAACATCTTTTTTGTAATGTGGTGACCAATATTGAATGCAGTATTCCAGGTGTGGTCTTACTAAGGATTTATAAAGTGAGCATGAGTTTGGGCAGACTCTGGGAAACAGTGGAAGGTGGTGGTGGGGGAGTTAGCTTGCTGTGGTCCATGGGGGTCATGAGGAGTCGGACATGATTTAGTAATTGAACAACAACAATAATCAAGACCAACACTATTCATTGGAATACAACATATTATACATCTAGAAAAAGCTCAGCATTACAGGTAGTCCTCAATTTACAACCACAACTGAGCCCAAAATGTCTGTTGCTAAGCAAGGCAATTGTTAAGTGAGCTTTGCCCCATTTTATGACCTTTTTTGCCATAGTTGTTAAGCAAATCATTGCAGTTAAGTGATTAAGTGATGCAGTTAAGCCACTCTGGCTTCTCCCATTGATTCTGCATGCCAGAAGCTGGCTTGCAAGGTTACAAATGGTGATCTCATGACCCCAGGACAATGCAACTGTTATAAATACATGCCAGTTGCCAAGCACTTGAATTTTGATCACATGACAATGGGGATGCTACAACAATTATATTTTTTAAAACCAGTCATAAGTCACTTTCATCAGTGCTGCTGTAACTTTGAATTGTCATTGAATGAATGGTTGTAAATCAAGGACTACCTGTATATCTCTTCTCCAAGTTTGGGAAATTCATTCCCACTTTCTTGAATAATTTACGATGATAGTTAAATAACATCATCCTGAGTCTTCGGACAAATGTTTGCAGTAGCTTGCAGGAATGGAATTTTTGTCACCTTTCCCCAGTCTAATGCTGTCCACATGTGCTGAACTATAATTTGCTCAATTGCTCTGCCTGGGGGTGCATTGGAGGCATCTGGTTGGCTGAAGTAGGTGGACTTGCATGTTGTTGTTTTTTTTTTCAAATGACAATTTGTATCTGCTCAAATTCCTACCTGCAGTTACAATTAAAGATAGAAAATGTACTGCATGAGGACTTTTCAACGAAGACTTTTGCCTAGGAACTGCAGCCAATTTAAAGTTAGGCAGAAAATTATTTAATTGCCATTAAAATGTTTTCAATTAACATCAGAAGTAAGTTGAGGGAGAAAATAGAATGGAAGAACATTTTCATGCCTTTACTGATAGAATTCTTGTCTACATAAAAGAATAAATATTACAAATCAAACAGACATTATTATTTGTTCAATTTAGATACCATCCATCTCACTCATAGAGTGACTGGGCAGTCTACAATTATCACATAAAAACCTAAAAAACATATAAAAATAAAATACCTTTAAAAGATAAAAGCAGATAAAAAGCAAGGATAAAGTAGGTTAAAAGTCAAAAGGTGGGTGGAAGAGTGTCAAGACACCAAAACCCCCCCCAAGGGTTGTGTGCTGCTGGGGTAAGTCTCATGCCAATGGGAAGAGCCAGGCTTTCAAACTCCTACAAAAGGTTAGGAGAGAGGGGCCTGCCACACCTCTGGTGGGAGAATATTCCAGATGTGGGAGCCACAGTAAAGAAGGCTCCATTCCTGGACTCTGCCAGTCAAAAGTCTGTAATTGGAGGGATCCATAACATATCTTCCCTACCTGAGCTACCTGGCCAGATGGGGTGGGCTGACATGATAGGGATGAGCCGGTTATCGATCCAATGTAACTTGTCAATTGGCAAGGGCCTGTGAAAAAAATGCTACAGATATTTGATTAATGTATTCATCCAAAGAATACAAGAAAGAATCCTCTATAACAGTATTTCTCAGCCTTGGCCAAGAGGCACAGTGGCTCAATGGCTTAATGACTCTGGAGAGGGCCTGTGCTCCAGAGGTTTGAGTCCTAGCAATTTGTAGTGGGGTAAGCTCCCATTACTCACCTCAGCTTCTGCTCACCTATCAGTTTGAAAGCATGTTCTATGCGAGTAGATAAACAGGTACTACTTACGTGTGAAGATGAGCCAGGACTTTGGGGGGGTGGTCAGAAGCCTGCCAGCGTTGGGCCTTCCTGGATCAATGCCCATTTATGAGGTGATTTTGGTGGAGGGAGAAGGCCCCTGGATGACCTGCAGGATGCTGTTTGTCTTTCTTTCTGGTGTGGAGCTAGCTTGCCCCCTGTGGTGCACCTTGGAAAGTGTGCAAGCATGAACCAAATGAGCTAGCAGTTTTTGGCAGCCAAACTATACTCTGTATTGGCATTCTAGTCCCCTGGATAAAGTAACATCTACTATGATAGATAGCTGACAGACAGACAGACAGACAGACAGATAAGCAAGCAAGCTTTGGCCATTTTAACATGAGTGGGCTTCAACTCCCAGAATTCCTTAGCCAGTATTCTGGAGATCCACACATCTTAAAGAGGCCAAAGCTGAAAAATACTGCTCTATAATGATGGTATACTGGCATGACATAAAATGAAAAAGGAAGGGGGGAAAAAAAGCAAAAGTATGAGTTTCTAGTTCAAAGAGGTCATACAGTGAAGGGAAGCATGATAAAAACAGTACCAACCTCCTCCCTCCTACATAGTTTCCCTAATTCTAGAAGTGTGAATTAAATTATCTGGATTCAACTGAAGACTAGAAGACTCCTGGACCTTTCATAGTACAGCTGGTGTCTTTTTTCAGCTTTCCATGAAAAAAAAAAACACTTAAAAGCTTCAAGAAGACCCTTTTCCCTTTTCATTTGGCCATTTTGAATGCCAAAGCTTTTGGAAAGGAAGCACAGGTGCAGACACTTAAGATAATAAGGCAGGAAGGCTAGGGAGATTGGAAAGCAACAACACCTGCTGGTGGAAATAAAAAAAAAAGAAAAATGGCAACTTTTCAGCAAAGGACCCAAAGGAGAAGAAGAAAGATAAAAAGTAGGAAACTCATGGAAGGTAAGTGCTCAATGCCAGACTGCTTCTTTTAGTTGTATGTATGTATGTATGTATGTATGTATGTATGTATGTATGTATGTATGTATGTATGTATGTATGTATATCCAAAATCTGGGTTCTCCAGCTAAGGCTGGGAAAGAGCCCTCTGTGACTAAACTCTTTATTGAACAGTGGCTGTTCCTCTCCCTCCTCCCAAAATTTGGGGTCTGCTGGTTTCAGCTTGCTTAGACTAGCCCCAGGCAATGCCGAGGCCTCCAGCCCAGGAAGGCTGGATTAGGAGGGACCATGAGTTTTACATATGACTATTTTTGTTCTTGTAATATTTTAAAGGAGTTTAATCTTGGTCTAAAGATGGTTTTTTATGGGCTGATAATGAGATACAAGAAATACACAGCTGTTCTAATGTTAAGGCTGCAAAATCCATCATATGTTTATTATGTAGGAGACAGTCAATTCTTTTGAAACAGTATTTCTTTTGTCTGTTCTTCAAAAAATATGCTTGGGGCTAATTTAGGCTAATTTAATATCTAGCTACAATATTGGTTATAATAGTTATATGTTGTTGCTCTTTATAATTGTTTTTAATGTTGTATACTTTTTTACATGATAGGCAATATGTGAACATTTTAAGACAGACAAAAATATGAGCCACACTTTGTCTAGTAGATGAAGTTACGCTTGTGTATCTTATGCCTTATGGATGAGTAGATTGTTGTTTCAGGCTTTAAATAGTGGCCAGTAAGTACATCTGTATAATATGTATGTACAGTATATGCTATATACATACATATCTGTATGTAGACATGGGCTGCAGATATGCAGGCCATCAGTAGATGGCAGCAAATTCTTATTTCATAGCTTGGTTGCTCATCAGTTATAACTGGGACTACAGAATAATAAGAAGAAAACATTAACCATTAGATCAAGGAGCTTAGTTTTCTAACCATTTTTTTGTATTCTTTTTCAATAGTGTCATGTGATTTAGTGAATGCAGAGAAAAAATCTGCTGATATAGAACGACTAGCTTACAGATACACGGTAATGTCATTTTAAAATGCTGGATTTCAAAAACCCAGTTAAGAATTGATTTATCTCACCTGGATTATTCTTGGCTTTAAGTGAATTGGTAAAATGTCTACAGATCCATAAACCTGAGACTTGCATGAAGTAGCTGTCATGAGACCATCTACAAATGGCGAGGAGGGCAGGTGAAACCAGCCCTCTAAGGTATTTGTGCAGTATCAAGCTCTGATGCTATTTTTATAACATGCTGATGTTGTTCTGCCTCCAAGAATCAATAAACTCTTAGCCTTCAATGGCCAACTCAATGGCCTTCCTGGCTTATCAGTAGAATGATCTACAGAAAGTAGAGCTGAACCTAGTCAGTACACGGATGACAGACCTCTATGAACTCCAAAAACTGAGGGAAAAATCCACTTTATTCTTATGGCCAGGGAGACTATCTGGTCATGTTCACAAAGTCCTTAAGTATTAAGCTTGACTTGAATATCCTTAAAATATCCTTCCTAAAAGCTTAAGTTGAGCAACATGATACATGTTTGACTTTCCACCTTTTCTTTAGATGTGAATGGTGCGTCATTTATTTTT